GGCAGCAGGGCTCTTCACCTCGAACAGCAGCATGAAGAGGTGGCTGACGGAGCAGAGGATGATCTTGTGAGCCTCCACCACTGTGCTGAAGTCCTCGGGGTAAAACGCCACGTCTGCACACTGACAGCAGCAGAGCAGGTTGTGCAGGTCTGCGTCGTAGTGCGAGGCCTCGCCCTTTAGGATCGGCATCTTTTCTGCAAAAGACAACGAGTCAAGCTGCAGAACAGAAGCAAGTGCTTCAACTGGACCCCTCACTGCAAGACCCACTGAGCCTCCACCACTGTGCTGAAGTCCTCGGGGTAAAACGCCACGTCTGCACACTGACAGCAGCAGAGCAGGTTGTGCAGGTCTGCGTCGTAGTGCGAGGCCTCGCCCTTTAGGATCGGCATCTTTTCTGCAAAAGACAACGAGTCAAGCTGCAGAACAGAAGCAAGTGCTTCAACTGGACCCCTCACTGCAAGACCCACTAGGCGCTGGAGCATGTCCAGAGAAGGGCAACGGAGCTGGGGAAGGGTCTGGAGCACAAGTCCTGTGAGGAGCAGCTGAGGCAGCTGGGGGTGTTCAGCCTGGGGAAGAGGAGGCTCAGGGGAGGCCTTATTGCTCCTGACAACTGCTTGAAAGGAGGGTGCAGAGAGGTGGGATCAGTCCCCTCTCCCAAGTGCCAAGCGATAACACCAGAGGAAACAGCCTCAAGTTGCACCAGGGGGAGTTTAGATGGGATACAAGGGAAAATGTCTTCCCAGAAAAGGCTGTCAGACCCTGGAACAGGCTGGGCCGGGGGGGGGGGGGGGGCCTTCCCTGGAGAGATTTAGGAGACGTGTGAATGTGGTACTTAGGGACACGGCTTAGTGGTGGCTGTGGCCATGCCAAGTTAATGGTTGGACATGATGATCTTAAAAGGTCTTTTCCAACCTAAAAGATTCTGTGATACTAAGTATAAATCACGGAACAACTCTATTCCAAGAGGCCTGCTGAAGGTCAATTTTTGAAAGAAGTATTCAATAAGATATATTTATATATGCCATTTGAACATGTTTAGTAAAATACTGTAAAAAAGTAAATACTAGTAAAATAAGAAATATAAGAAATACGTAGTTTAGTAAAAAGTGTCCATCTTTTTACAAAACCTCTTTAGGCACCTACGTTTCAAAGAAACCATGCCAGTGAATTCCAAACCCAAGGGACCTGAGTGAATTTCTAGTACATGTGAGAAGATATGACTACCTATTTAAAGGCAACTACTTGTCAGTAATTATTTCACTGAATAAATACATCAGATGCTCAGAAATCACGTGCAGGTTCATACACCTCTCGCTTGTTTTATTTGCAGCAAATAAAAAAATATTACTTGATGGTATTGTGTAATAATAAAGCATGTTATAATGACTTTTGTCTATAATTTCCCTGTAAAGATTTATGTAAAGCCATTACTAATTCATGTTTGCATTACTTCATCAAGTGCACCAAAAAAACACTCCTAGTATTTTTGTCTAAAATAAATAAGAAGTTCCTTTGTAATGTTACATATACAATTCTCCCCAACTTTATCAAACCATCACTAGAAGATGGCATAAGTGGGGCAACATAAACAGGATAGCTGATAACAGGTAGCACAGTTCACAGTAATGATCACAGAATGATAATTGTGAGAAGAACATGACACACATAACGAACGATACTAGAGACCAGACATCAGTAAGCACCTGGCTGTTCAAGCTGAGGTGGTTGAACTCGGTGGCACTTCTGCATCTTTTTCCTTTTCTTCATTTTTTCAGATGACTTCTGATTCAAACTTTGGATCATAAAATATTCCAGCTAAAACACAAAATGTAATCCTGATCATTTAAGAACAACCTAGGCATTAAACTACGGAGAAGGAGCGGGTGCTGTATGCAGAACTGAGGCTACTGCCACTATGGACAGGGGAGTCCCAGGATCCCTGTACCAGGAGCACGTTCCAAACGTGTTGGCTGTGGTCCATTCACCCAAGTGACAAGTGATGGGACAAGAGGAAATGGCCTCAAGTTGCATTGGAGAAGGTTTAGATTGGATAATAGGGAGAATTTCTTCATGGAAAGGGCTGTCAGACATTGGAAGGTGCTGCCCAGGAAGGTGGTGGAGTCACCATTCTGGAGGGATTTAAGAGATGTGACACGTAGATGTGGTTCTCAGGGACATGGTTTAGTGGTAGGCTTAGCAGTGGGAGTTAATGGTGGGGCTTGAAAAAAGGTATTTTCCAACCTAAACGAATCTATGATTCTATGAAGTTGGAATTAGCCGAATTTAAGATGCTGTTTATTCAAATGATGGTGGGTAATTCTTTTGCATTTAATCTTCCCAGAAATGGCAGACATTAAGATAGCCAATGTACCAACTCCCATAGATGCTAATTACAGAGAAGAATAAGACTTGATGGAAATAGTCAGACGCAAGTGATGGAAGCAACAGACCATACATAAGCTCTTCAACTTGCAACTAACCACCACCATCATCACGCAATGATACCATGTTCTCTGAGAAGTCACACTGCAGAGTGGTTGCAGGGCAAAGTTCATTTCACTGGGACAGTCTACAAGTGTCATCACGTAGTAAAAATGTACCTCAGCGGGAATGATTCCTTTTACAGGCATAAATAGGAATGAGGAGTGGTTCAGTTCGAGTTAATGAATGTCTTGAACACTTTTATCACCCTAGGTATTAGCACAGCACATACAGTACTTTCTGAAAACTAGAAAAATATTCTGACTGGACGAGATGTTGAATGGATTCCTCACTTTTAACTGAGAATGAATGGATGCAATAAAAATTGGCTAACTGTTGTGCCAGTTACTATCAAATCCCATGGAAACACACTGTACTTATACACCAGGGCACACAACAGTACAAGCCATGTGAAATTACTGGGCCGAAAGAAATGCATTTTTTGTTCAAGCCTAAATGCCACTGGAAAAGTAACCAAAAGGTTCAGAAAAAAGGCTGAGCGTAAAACACCCCACAGAACTGAAAATGAAGTATCAGTGTGAAACAGTTTTGTGGAGAAGACAAATAAATCTGAAAGAATGCATTTACAAACTGCTCAGTGGTCTTCCCTGACTTCAGGGGAGTGGAAAAAGAACAAGCTCATTAGAGGCGAGGCATTTTAGCAAGTCTCTAAGCTTCTGTCTTTTTCAGCTTCGCTGCGTCTGGTCCCAGGCTCTGTTCAGGATTGCGAACTGAGTGACCACAAAAATATGCTAAAAAATTACGCAATTCAACAATCTTACCTGTTTCACTTTACAAATACAACAGCCGTGAGAGTTTGAGCAATTAAAATAAAATATATAAGTTTATTATGCACTAATTCATGTTAGAATGGACGTGTGGAGGTCACACACTCAGGGCATCTGCTCCAAGCAAGAGTCGTCTTCAAAGTGGGATGGGTTTGTTGTGTGCCCTGTCCAGCTGGGTTTTGATTAGCAAGATAAAAGAACAGGAATGGGAGGGGAAAAAATATTGCAGTGCGTAGTATGGCTTTCCTAAATCTTCCTAGAAGGTAGTTAAAACTGGAGCAACCTCAGTACTGCCAATTCAGCATCATCATAGAATCACAGAATGGTTTGGGTTGGAAGGGACCTTAAAGATCATCTAGTTCCAACCCCCTGCCATGGGCAGGGACACCTTCCACTAGACCAGGTTGCTCAAAGCCTCATCCAGCCTGGCCTTGGACACTTCCAGGGATGGGGCATCCACAGCTTCTCTGGGCAACCTGTGCCAGTGCCTCACCACCCTCTCCAAGAAGAACTTTTTCCCTAGGTCCAATCTAAATCTAGCATCAGTGTGAACTCGGTCTCAGTGCGAGTGCTTGTGTTCTGCCTGTGCTTGCTCTCCAAAGACCTGCCATGGGCCATGTCCCCTTCCCCCATGCATACCACCCTGCTTTCAGCCCGGGGGTTTCTCACTCACCACTCCTCCAAAGTACTTCTCTATGTAGAATTCATTAAGGGTGTGCAATTCAAGGTAAGTGGCTCCTAGTTCCTTGGCCAGCTGCACTCCCTCGGAGCTGGTGACACAGCTCCTCCTGTCCGAAGTGCACAGGGGGCAGGTACAGGGCACTCCTGAAGTAAGAAGTCATGCAAAAAAGCCATTTTAGTCAAACAAGCCATAATTCTTACCTTCCTAAATAATTGTAAGTTGTACTATCTACTAAAGAACAAAAAGGGAAATGGAAACATAATCATTTTACAGTAAGAAATCTATAATTGCTACAAAAAGCTGAACTTTATCATTTCAAAATATCAGCTGCTATAACCAAGCTCAGCCTACATTACATTAGCAATATTTTACACTCAGTTTTGTTAAGCTGTGAAAGTCACGTAGGGCTTCCAGAATTCAGGTTTGGCTTGGGGCAGCAGTGTCCTTATGTGCCTGCAGGTATTACCATTCATTAATGTCCCCCTTAAACTTGTTTAACTATTGTGGCCTGTCCGTGCAGGCAGCATACACGGTAACGAAAGGGAGAAATTCCCACTCCAGTCCCGGCTGTTATGGGCATGTATATACTTATACGTATTTCATTTAGATATATTTTACATATTTTTTTTTACCTAAAATAGGTACTTTGTGAGATTATGCTGGTTAATAAATATCTGTTAGCCACCCTGGCTCAACTTTGCTTAATGCTGGTCTGGCCATAAATGTGCTTTCCAATGTGCCGTGCATGTTCTACGTTCATTTCCTCTGCTCAGACCTATGGATAACATGTAATAACACAGCTTTTCTTTTTATTTCTTTTGGCACCACCATTTGCTACTACAGGGGATTAAGATCTTAGTAATTTGTATGAGCAAACTGCTGTGTTCACACATACCTCCTAGAAACAAAAGGGCTCTGTGTCTGCACAGCAGTCTGCTCCCAGAGAGAAACTGCAACTGGAGTGCCTGACTTCTCCCACGGTCACATTATTTAGGGAGGAAAACAGAAAAAAAACCACAGTGGAAAAGAGAAATGCCAGTAGTGGAGTCACTCAGACTGGGGTTATCGTGTGCATAAATAAAAAGTGCAAGAAGAGGTGTTGGGGAAGACAAACATGAGCTTAGTGAGACCTTGCCTTTAGAATGGCAGATTTATTACCCCTGTATAAATCACAGCATGAAAACATTTTATCATTATCAGTAAATTACTAAAGGGATTTACTAAAATCTTTACTAAATAAAGATTTAATTGTTATAGAATTTTTTAACAGTCTTTCCTCAATCACTGAGCAAAAAGGATATGTAAGTACACACTGGCAAAACCGAGCATTACGTACGCAGAAGACACACTTCATATAGCCCAATATTTCTTTGTACAGTATAAAATGAATGTTTACATCTATATCCATCACATCCCTTAGTCATAGCAGGAGGGATGTTTTAGTCAAACCTGTAAAGTTGAAGACAACTCATGGGCTCAAGCTTTGAATTCAGTGCTTTGGGGGTGGGGGCAAATCATGTTCCACAACTAAAAAGACCATACAAAAATCAAAAAAAAGCACAAAGCAAAACATTTGGAAGTACAGAATAAAGCTTGTATGTTTCCTCTACCAGTACCTGTGATGTCCACTCTGAACTTTATTTCCCTGATGTAAACAGACAGAAGTTACAGTGCCTACCCAAACCGTGAACGTGTTCTCACCAGCACGGCCCTCACTGCCTGCTGGGCACTTTGTAGGTCCATGTGGTCCTTCCACAATCGAGTGACTTTGATTTTCATATTGATCAGACATCAACAGCAACTCTGTGCTGGCTAAATATTCAGTGTAATATCGTTTTGCATCGTTCTCACAGCAGCCTTATTCGGCCCGGACAGTGCGACCGACCACATAAGCTTTACCACAGCCGTACCACAGGTACTCTGCCGTGAAAGGTCAGCTCTGCTGACGCAGCAGCACGTGGCACTTTGTGGTACCCAAAGGGCTGGTATGTCCACTCATCTGACGACATCGCAGAGAATCTTGAGGCTTTCCTACCCCATTCCTAAGGCCACAAGCTGATGGACTTGCGCTTAATCTCATGCAGTAGAGATATTTTATACCTGAGACATGACCAGGGAGAGCACATAACCATAGGGTTCATCTAATACACTCAAATGTATGATGCTTAATCCAAAGCACTAGATTTAATCCTCATTTGTGATGACTCCACAAGGACAGTCGTTGCAGGGGTCAAAGCAGGATACGATGCCTTTCATCACCAGGGTTAATTAAGCATAATGTCCTTGCCAATACACCAGTCTGCAGAACCATAATACACGCACATATTACCGTCACCCTGACAGACTAATTGTTTCTGTTAACAGCTTGGAAAAACAGTCAGCTTCTACTGAAATTACAGCATCTCAAACTTCCAAGTGAGAGTTCAGCTATTACTACAGGAGACTGGATACATACCGTTTTTTCGTGAACCAATAGCAGAAATTATTACTGGAACTGAACAGTGGTTTAATGCTTTTTTTATCATTGGGACATAACTGTCCTTTAGTTCTTGAAATGAAGTCTTGTCATTGACAGAGTATTTAATCACAATAATGTCAGCTCCTCCAATGAGACTGCGAGAGGTGTACCAGTCACTGTCAAATATATCCTAAACAGAAAAAACACTGATCAAGAATTTCCCATCTATAAAGGAAAAGGTGAACTATTGAAGAGCCTTAATACATAACCTTATGAAAGCAATTTCAACTGATCACTTAATCTCTTATTTGAAGATGTGAATCAAAGAGCAGCATTCAGGCTTTGTAATTTCTTTGTTTGGAGAACAACTTGTTAATTATAATAAACAATTAATCTCTTCTATGAATCAGGAATTCTTCAGGAAGAAGATAAAATAAGGTTTATCTAGAACTATACTTTGTGGGAAGAAACTTTGCTGGTTTAATTACTTAGCGTCTAAATGTTTTTATTAAGGAAATAAAAGCAGCTTCAGTGGTAGAGGTTTGCAGTAATCCATACAAAAACATTATTTATTGCAACATTCTAGGGAAAGTTTTACAGATAACAATGCTATGTAGCTATGAACCTTTTAAAACAACTTTCATCAGCTGGGTGTGATTTTTATCTGCTTCACAAGAGCCTCCATGTAGCTTTAACAGAACTAATGTCTTCAGGGTAAGGACTTTAATATCATAACTAAACTGAATTTTTTGATTTCACATTCAATTTGTCATTGTTCTATGCTTTAAGTGGAAGACTTACACTCTTAGATTATTTTGAATCCTGTTTATTTACGACTGTGCTGTAATCACAGGTAATACACAGTTATTACTTGCATATTTGTCATGAGGACTATAACTTCATAATTTCTGTTTTACCTAAAGGTAGCTCGTAAATACCAGTGAAAGCTACAGCTCTGCACATAGGCTCAATGGAAAACTCTTGACAGAAATCTGGAACTGGCCCAGAGAGCTGAAAATCACCTCAAAAACCTAAAATACGATGACCTCTTGGAACATAGACACCTTACTGCAGCCTTTCAACACTTAAAGGGGGCTTATAAGAAAGTTGGAGAGACACTTGTTGGAAGGGCCTGTAGTGACAGGACAAGGGACAAGTGTTTTAAATTGAAAGTGGGGAGATTTAGGTTGGACATCAGGAAGAAATTCTTCACGGAGAGAGAAGGTGGTGAGGCACTGGAACAGGTTGCCCAGCCCCTGTGGTTTTTGAAGAACAGGTCACAGAAATGAGAGAATTACAGATGTGAACCAGAGAAATACATAAAATATTATTAATATCAAGAATTGGCTTGCATTGTCAATATAATTATTTTAGATCACTTCAAAAGAGTCATTGTTTCAGATCTGCGGTGAAGTAGCTGCAATGCTCAAGTACAAGAGGTAGGATGATCTTGACGGAAATACATCAGCTAGCAAATATTTGCTTAGACTGGGTATGCAATTCATACCCAGTTTAGGTCTTGTCGTTACAAAGGAACAAGTCAGGAAATAAAGTAAATAGGTATTCCTATTAATTTATTTAATAGATGTTCCTGTTTGATAGATGTTTTGTAAGAAAACCACAAAAAATCATGAGGAATAGCTGTTCCATGATTCACCATGTTCACAGAGCTTTAAGGGCACGGCTCTTGGTATTTGTTCTCTCAGTCGACTCGGTTAGAGACTATTATAATCCCAGGCTAAGGAAAATCTCCACCAATGTTTAACAGAATCATTTAAGCTGTGCTAAGTATACAAAGTTAACACATAAACACAAGCTTAGCACCTGTGGCAGGAAGACTACCAGCTACAGTGCTTTGAGACAGACAGCTAGATGGGCTTTGCAGAACTTGATCACACCGTCAGGCAAAAATTAAGAATTTTCAAGGGACAGCTTTAGTACATTTTAGCTGATAAAGATCTCAACAGAGAATTTTTAGGAAAGCTGTAAACATTTAACATGACAAAGGCTTAAGAGAAAATTACAATATAAACCAAAAATAATACAGAATATTCAATTATTCCATTCTAGCAGGCAGAAACCACGCCTGCTCCTTTGCAATCTCCTTCTAGCTGCCTGTCTTCAAGCTCATCCCTGGTTTGCACATGCCCATCTCCATGAGCTCAGTGACGGCTGAGGTCTAGAGTACGGGTGCACAAACACACAAGAATTCTGCCGCGAGTTTAAGTATTAATACTAAAAAATACTTATGGAAAATTCTTACAGAATCATATAATCATACAGAACATGTTTATCAGAATGTAGTATGTGGTCCACAAGGACCTTATTGCAGCCTTCCAGTACCTGAAGGGGCCTACAAGGAAGATAGTGGGGACTTTTTACAAGGATCTGTAGTGACAGGACAAGGGGTAATGGGTTTAAATTGAAAGGGGAGAGATTTAGACTGGATATCAGGAAGAAGTTCTTCACAGAGAGAGAAGGTAGTGAGGGTGAGGTTGCACCGATGTGCTGTGGATGCCCCATCCCTGGATGTCTTCAAGGCCAGGCTGGATGAGGATTGAACCAACCTGGTCTAGTGGAAGGTGTCCCTGCCCATGGCAGGGGGGTTGGAACTGGATGGTCTTTAAGGTCCCTTCCAACCCAAACCATCCTGTGATTCTATGATTTTTGCATGTTGTGACATGTTTGTATATGGTTTGTAGCTCCCTCCTTTTTAGAGCTGAGTTAAATATCTGGTGCATTATGACCCC